TTTAGGCTCCTCAATAAAGCAATTTTGTACATTCGAAATCTGAAAATACACTTCGCTTACTGTACTTTAACACATTTTGGCCATGTGCAAAATGAAAGAACTTCAGTAATATCAAATCTGTAATACTAAGTGAAAARCATTTTTATTTCTCAACGTGTCTCTCAATTTTTATTTCTCAATGCCCATGCATTGTATGCTTTTTGTGTTTGCATGTTTTTTACTTCATGAAAATTTCATCACTATCAGGTTTACAATACCCACTGTACCAAATTCTGATCCCAAGATTCAGACTAGAAAGTTGGATCAAAAATTCAATTGAGAACTCCCTTCAGAGTTAGGAGAAAAAAAGAACTTTAAATGGCCGCTTCACCGATWTTACAGCKGAAAGSGTCTCTACAGTATTGCATTTCTCTSTGTTTTCAAAAAGGATTTTCTACTAGTGATTGGCATMTTTTTAAATACTAGGCATTTTATAWTCTTTAGGTATGGAAAAGCACAACTGTTTAGACCAGCAATTTTTCTTATGCATAGTATTTCACTACATACATAGTGAATTACACTGTCATCACGAAACTGCCTATCACAACACTGATAACATCAAATAAACTTCATCAAGAAGTTTGGTTGAAGTCATGACCAACCTTCTTACTGTGTAGGTGTAGCTCATCATCWATTACTCCATGGAACCTCTCCGTATACAGAGAGTGAAACCTTTCAGGGAAATCCTACTTTCTGCCAGTTTACCAAATTCAGGTCTCAGAGAGAAGAAAAGTTCATACTTGGTCAGTTAAATGTTATCTGCTACACATGCTTGAGCATGTTCTCTGATGCCATTGTCTGCACAGTTGCTACCCTGACCTTAAAGCACGTATCAAAACTACACAAATGTTAAACAATCATTTGATCAAGTTTGTAATATGTTCCCAGGTATTTAAACAAGCCAAGAGTCAGTTTCTGACTGATCTGCTGTAATATCATGTATTCATGTTGGTGTCAAACTCTTTGGGTTTGGGCAACTGCTTTTCCTTAGATATCAATAATATAAACAAAGTGTATATATAAATACAGAACAAAAATATCAAGAGACACTTTATTATAGGAAAAACAGGACTTTTCAGGATTTTGGTAATTTAGAATTTTCATTAGTAAAACTACTGCAAAGGACAYACTTTCAGCAAGATGGCAAAAATGCAGGCTACCAAGATATGCTGTGTTAGCAACAGTGTAACTCCAGAATCCCAACTCTTAATACTGGGTTCCTGCTCAGGGACAGATATTTGACCATGGTGTTCAAAAAGCATTTTTATCATATTTGTCCTGCATGATTTTACATGAAGGAATCTTTATAAGACATCACTAATAACCATTTGGAAATTTAGTCCTAGAAAAGTAAAAGTTAATTTCTTGATCTTCATTCTCCTAATGCCTTGTTGAAATATTGTCCTCTACTTTTTGTTCTCATGAATGAGATATATTGGTAGAACTTAAACAATGCCTAATCATCAACAGCAAATTACTTTGCAAATACAGTAGTTCTACATATTTGAAAGTATTTAGAATATTATTTATAATTTTTTAAAATTTCTATCTCCAAAATGCTCATCACTCTCACCTCACTGACAGGACTGGAACAACCCCATCAGTACAATGAATCCAATGTTGTCCTCATTTCTTTACTGAATATAAACAGCAGTAACTTTCAAGGTTTTCAGAATACTCAAAGGAGATCTTTAAAGCATTTTTAAAAAGCCTTATAATTTCTTCATACATTAAGTGAACTACAGAGTAGTAGTTATTTGTAAGGGTCCAATAGAAAATGKACAACCTCTAAATGCACACAAATGTTTCATTTGAAAAAAACAACCCWATGTCTTTGTCCCTTTTCTCCTCCTCACTTGCAGYACTTTTTTATGCATCTGCTATACCACAGACTCCCAAGGGAAGGACTTGCATTTCTATTTAACCTTCTTTTGCTTAACTTCAAGATTTTGCCTAGAGAAAAATATGTTCATTCATATTAACACCAACCTTTTCTTTGCACATATAGCCACATATGGGAAACCAAGAACCCAAAAGACAGAAAGTATCTACAAAATCATATATATTTGAGAATTCAGTGCCAAGAAACATTCTAAGTAATCTCTGTCATCCTCACACAACTCTCACCCCTCGTTAAGTTGTATGTGTATGTACTAGTTACATTCAAATGTATGATTCAATCATAATCAGTATATCCAGYTCTAAGTGATTGTTGAGTCTGAGTATTATAAATAAGCTCTGTCTTTATTTCAGAAAGATTAGATATGGAAAAAACTGAGTTTTCTGGATAATGTAAGAGTTCATTTTATTTAAATGGAAGGATTTAACCACTAAAGCATTGCTTTCACACCAGGAACAGTAAAATAAATGGTGCATGAATAGAACCATTTCTGTGGGAAAAAAAAGACGAAAATTGCATAGGCTGATTTCAAATAGCAAATGCATTTCAGATTACAGAAATATCTAAAACAGAAAATAGACATTTTTCAACAAATGTAGTATTACTATATTAAGTACTTTTTAATCTATATAAAAAACTCATTATTTAAAAAAATCTCAAGATAGAGAAAATCCATGAAMTAGCAAAATCCAGTTATTTCAAATCATGTTTTAATTTCTCATAAAGATCAGTACTGTATGGAAATTATATGAAAAATAGTTTTCACAAGGAATTTTTACTCACAAAATTTAACATCTTATTTGCATGAATTATTATTAAAAAACTCAYATGCCTGTAGAATGACTAAAAATTTAAAAAGATTATTAAAGTCTTTACACTCGGAGAAATGATGCAAAGGGACATTTCATGGAAGAAACATGTCTCAAATTTATACAATTGCCAGTGTGAATTTTAAACACTATCTTCTATTGCATTTAAAATACAAATACTGTTTCTTCTTACAGAGGAGCAATTTTCCACCATTATTTCTGGTAGGAAGTTTTTTAAAAAATATATTAAGTCCAAATAAAATCRAGTATCTCCTAATAAATAATTATTTCAATGCTGATAATTATATAGTATGCTGCAATGAAAGTAAATCTTTCAGTCCATCTCTAAGGAACCCCCTGTAGTCTTGCACTTTCTACCCAAAACCAGGTAACTGCATTTGTCCATTTTGCCAATGCCCACACTGCTCATGCCTGTCAATGCCTCCCATCAGACTCAATAGCCTGTATGTTTTCTGATTACAGTCAAGTTTCTGATGCAGTTGTACATTCCTTGAAAATCCTCACTAAAAATCCCAAATATACATCCTCACCAGACTCTCAGTCAGTGGAATCACTTAAAAATTGAAATTAAAAAGTTGCTCTGTCAAACCTAAGATTTTCGTTTATGTAGCTGCATTGACTTCTCATTCATGTCTATATAAAGTCTGTATTCTTAACCTGGTAAGACTCTGCAAACAGACTTCAAATAATCTGTGAAAAACACCTTTAAGATGTACTTTGTATCAAATTATATTTCTTCTTAACATTTTTCATTAAAGTACTTCTGCTGATCAGTAATAAGATGTTTTTGAGCAGGTTCACCTACTGCAAACTGATACTAAAAAAAGAGATGAAGTCTAAAAYTGACAGAATCTAATTCAAACAGAAAATTACAACATTATTATATAGGYAAAAAGTAAAAATAAAATTTATCTTAAAATACAGAACTCATAAGTAACACTACATGCWGTATTAAAACTTCAGCTCCTGGACTTTTGTTTTAAAAAATATTTGGCTGATTTAGCAAAACATAGCAAAAAAATGTGAAGCCAAACCGAGAGTCCATCTAGCAGAGTCAGTGAAACTTAAACATATTCTTGCAAGAGACCTAAAAGCCATGCAGCCCAACAAGAATGTTTCTAGTAGCTTTCTCATGAAAACCACTGAATATATTAGCCAAAATGTGGCCCTGGCTCAAAAGTTCACCTAAGCYACCAAGTCCACTTTGCAAATATTTAATGCAAAATAAAGCAAGAACATGAGCATACGCTTAAAGTAGAAAGTAATGGCACAATGAAATTAAAAAAAAAAAAACCAACTAATTATATTGTTTTGCTAAGCTTTTACTTTTCCAATGTTCCCCATTTCATCTGGGGAGACATATACACTATAAAGCTGAAAAAACTATGTATCACAAGAAAATACTTAATGCAGGTTTTTTTTTTTATTTTAAAGAATCCTATCTATTTGAACAATGGTTTTGTTAAATATACAGAATAAAAATTTGAATATCCTAGTTCTGACAGGATCAGATAAAAACCAAAAAGGAAGGAAAAGCTTAAAAAGTAGAAGGATTTGTTTAACTGCTTTATCTGTTGAACTACATAGAACAGTCTGCTCTTGTATTCATAAATAAAATCTCAGTGGACAAGGCATATAATGTAATAAAAAAAATAAAATAAACATAGGTATTGCTACTGTTTCATTTAACCTACAGGTTGACTGTGCAATTAAATGACTATTTGGAACAAAAACACATTTATTGTTATTATGACTTGTAATAGTTCAGTGAAATTTTAAATACTTCCATAACTCCCAGGAAGCCAAAATTCTGCATCTTGAAAGCAAGAAAAATTCCAAGATTTCAAAAACAAAACAAAGACAAAATAAATTCTTGTCTGCCTATCATTAGCTCATACCTACAGTATTTTCCTTTGAACACSATTTACACTTTTAAAACCAAATTTTGTAATACACAGAATTTTTATTTAATTCAGCCTCCCTACCTGGAAAGACTAACTGATAAATAGTAAACAATAAATAGCCAAAAAGTAAAGTAAAACAAATAATTCTAGAAAAATCAGTTAAGGAAGAACTTTTTCAATATCCACTGTAATATTCAAACAGAGTAGACTAAACAAATTTACTATAGATATAATACTTATAAGGATAAGCAACAAATAAACAGTACATCCTAGCAGTGTCTAGAAGACGTATTTCAGATAATTAGGAACAATGGCATCATATAGTACCTTCCATTGCCCTTTTAAAGAACACTTTACAACTTCCACAGGTAAGTACTCCATAGTGGCAACCTGAAGCCTCATCACCGCAGATGAGACAAATCTTCTGGGGTAGAGATTCAAAACTGAACTGAGAACTTTGGCTGGTTTCCGTATCTGGCCTTCAAAAGAAAAAGAATTAAAAGAAATGAATGACCTAGCTTTGCACAGTTAACTACTTACCTGTATTAATGAGTTTTATATTTAAAACCTCATTTTAAAATTTGTAATCAAGATACAAAAAGACAGGAAAAAACTAAAGTATGCTTGCCTTTCTGCTTAATGGTTTGTCTCTGCTGTGGTAGTACAGGAAAGCCGTGCAAAAAAAAAAAAAAGCAGAGTGATATTTTAATCCCTTTAGCTAAAAAGGTACAATCCTTTGCTAAAATGTTCATCTTCCTCAGATCAGCAACTCTTGTGAGTGGAGTCATAGTGATGTTTATCTCTTTCTGGTACAGAGACAGAATCAGATAGATGTCAACTGAATTTCAAAGGCCTCTTTCATATGGGAAAAAAGTAAATTTCATTTCAACTAGAAAAATCTTTAATAATATGTTTACCACCCCCCACTCACCTACAGCATTAGCAGTAGCTAAGTCTTATGGGGGTATCAAGGATAATTCCAATTTCTCTCCAAGAAAAGGCAGACTAATCCAGGTAACCTCTGTATTTACAAAAAGAGAGGACTTTCGTTGAAACTCTAACATTGCATGCATGGTGTTAGCATCTATTTCTAGGTAATGCACATCCCGCCATGAGCGTACTCCAACTCATTCTAGAAAACCAACATTCAAGTGTTCGTTTTCTTTTTTTGCGTGAAATCAGCTGCTTTTGGTGTTTTGTTTGGGGTTCTGTTTCTGGGTTGTTTTTTTGTTTTTTTTTTTTTTTTTTTTTTTTTTTCAAACGGGAATAGTATTTTGGGAAATAATAAAGTATTGATGAATACGGTCTCGCTGTCAAGTGAGGGCAATCCAGAGAAGCTGCACGCCCTCCCCTGGAGCCGGGCATTGGCTCGGACATGGGGTGTCCCTGAAGTCCCGCTGCGATAACAAACCAGCATCTCCCGGAGCGTCATCGTGGCCAGAGCCGCGAGGTGCCAGCTGCGGGCTGCCACTGCTGCTCTCACACCGCCCCGGGACACCGCAGCGTGCTCAGGCAGCGCAGGGAATGGAAACGGGGCTGCAGGCACTGCCTAAAAGCCCAAAAAGGCCGAGAGAAACTTCGCCCGTCCTTTTCTCGCCACCCCCTTTATTTCCCCCGGAGCGGCCACCGCGCGGCACGGCTGCCCCTCCGCAGGACGAGGAGGAGGCGCGGAGCTCCCCCGCCGCGCAGCGCGACCCCCGGCCCGTCCCTCAGCGAGCGCCCGGCCCCGCGCCCCCCGCCTTACCGCGAGTAGCCGAGGTAGGGCGGGCACAGCTGGGGCAGGCCCTCCTTGAGCACGGCGGCCGGGAAGCCGAGCGGCTGCTGCCCGTTGAGCCCCAGGGCCGGGTACAGCCCCGGCGGCGCGGCCGAGGTGGAGGGCAGGCTGTCGGGTGGCGCCGCCGGCCCGTAGGCGCCGGACAGCAGGGTGGGCTCCGCCTTGTAGAGGACGCACTCCAGCGAGGGCTCCTGCCCGGCCCGCGGAGCCGGCGGGTAGTCGTGGCAGCCCGCCGCGGGGGTGGCCCTKCCGCCCGGGTAGCGAGCGGCGAGGCCGAGACCTTCCTCCTTGATCTTCAGGACGGGCTGGATGTCGCCGTAGGYGAAGGGCCCGTCCTTGGCGTCGGGCGGCGGGAAGCCGTAGGGCGACAGCTCCGTGGCGGGGGGCGAGCAGCGCGGCACCGCGCCGCTCTCGTACTCCGCCCCGTCCAGCAGCTGCCGCGTGCGCGAGGCCAGGAAGGCCGAGTTGAGCGGCAGCAGCGGCACGTGCAGGTATTCCTGCCCCGGCTCCTCCGCCCGGGACCCGCCGGGCAGCGCCCCGACGCCGGGGACATCGCCCTTAGGGGCTGCGGTGGCACCCTCCGCGCCGCCCCCCGGCCCCGCCGGCCGCGGCTTAGCRTTGGGGGCCAGGGCGTCGCCGGGCGGCCAGAGCGCGGGAGGCTGCGGCGGGGGCTGTGAGGGGCCCGGCGCCCCCGGGGCGGCTTCGCCCGCCTTCTGCGAGGTGCCGCTGCTCATCGGGCCGTCGGGCGCCTCCTCCGCCTCGAAGAAGGACCAGGGCGCCGCGCCCACGGTGGAGCTGGCATGAGCCGCAGGCGCCAGGAAGGTGTCCAGGACGGTGTCCAGGGAGTCCTTGACCGAGAGGGAGCCGCTCCCTGGCTGGTAGGAGAGGGAGTCCCGGCCCACCTCCTGCCCCAGATGCTGCTGCTGCGGCTCTTCCTCCTCCTCCCCTTCCTCCTCCTCCTCTTCGTCCTCCTCCTCGTCGCTGCTCTTGGGGTAAAGCAGCCCGTCCAGGGAGATGTCGATGGGCTCCGCTGGCCCGCGGAAGGGATCTCGACCGGGCTGACCCTGCAGCAGGACCGCCCCGTCTGTGGCAGGCGGAGGCGCTCGGGGCTCCTTGGCTTTCACCTCGGTCATGCTGGCCTGGGCCAGCGATGGACGCCGGCAAGTCTCCGGCCCGGGGAGCGGTCGGGCAGCGACAGAGTGCTGGCAGCTGGGCAGCTCTTCACATCCTGGACGTGCCCGCTGCGGCGGTGGCGAGGGTCCTGCTCACATGGTGCTGCTCTCGGAGGGACGGCTCAGCCCCGGCCCCCGCTKCCTGGAGGGGAAAAACGACGAGAGCGTGTTTGGGAGGCGAGCAGGAAAGCAGGATGCCTGCCAGGCTCCGACGAGGTGGACACCCTGAGTCGGTGCTCAGCTCGTCCCCCGTCTGTTTCCCACCGGCCGGGCGGGCTGGCCGCCGGCTCCACGCCCCCTCGCCCGTCCCTCCCTCCCCGCCCCTCTTCGCCGCCABCCCCGTCCCTTACCGAGGGTCTGCGCTGCGGACGCTGGCTCGCCCCTCCCGGTCCCACCGCTCCGCGCTGCCTCTGGGAACCGCGGCTCTTCCAGCGGCTCCTCCTCCGATCCGCCTGCCCCCTCCCGTATCTGTCTGAGCTCGCATCCCGTTCCCTTCGCGTGCGGCGCCCTATGCCTTAGGTCAGCGCTTTCTGGCTTCTGATCATCTCCCTGTCTTCACGGTCCTTTCTCCCGCGTCTTGTGCCGGTACTTCGTCCTCTTACTTCACCGTCCCAAGAAGTGCAGTTCCGGATTGAGCAGAGATTACAAACCTCTGATTAGGTCGCTGGTTTGGAAAGCCGAGAGCAAGACAAACTKTACTTATTTTCAGTAATGGCTTCCTTTTGTCTGTTTTTCATCGTCCCCTTCAGATGTTAAGTGTAGTTTTTGTGATTAACCTCTGTTCCAACACCCCTCCTGATAGAAGATCCATTTTACACTAGCAAGGAAACCAAGGCAATGTAAAGCTCCTTACATGACATTACAGGACTTCAAAGTATCCTCAATACCAAGAGGCATAATATCTTTTCTGCAAAAGATTTGGAAAGCAGGAKAGTCATTGCTTCTAAATGTTAATTACTTTGTCAGGAAATTGAGAAGACGTTTAAAAAGGACTGACTGGCCTGCCTGCATATAGCAGRTTGCAATTCAGCCCAGGTTAGTTCTGACCAAGAAGCTGTCACCAGCTAATTGCTGTCTGGCATTYTGTGTAAGATAGTGGCTTTGTGGCAGGGCCCATTCAGCTCAATAAGACAGCTACTAATTGGAGGGAAAAAAAAAACCAACCCCAAAAGCAACACAAGCCTTAGTATGATTTTCATTATATGGAAATCTCTGAAAAGTCACTTGTATTGAAAGATACAAAGAATAAATTGGCATAGGRGTGGTCCTGACTTTAAGTAGAATGAGTATATTTTTGATAAATAGAGAAAAGTATGCAGTAAAATGCTTGATTATACCCTGTAGGTCTAATATACTTTTCTGAAAAAGAATAATTTTTTTTCAAGAAAACCTGTGATCACCACAAAATAGTTTCTTTTATTATTTTACTTGCAAAACATCTTCAGGCTGAAAAGGACAACTTCTCAGAGAGAGGAACATAAACGTTTGAAATTATTTCAGTGCTCTGAAAGCTAGCATCTGAAATCATGTAAGGCAAGTTTATATAAGCAGTGGCTTCACACAGATTTTATTCGATGTGGTCTGTGTTTTCTACATTATTCTTGTCAAAATTCTGCTGGCTTATAGTCTGCTTTGGAACTCTCCTCTTTATTCCTTTAAGAATAAACAGAAGAAATTTTTTTTTTTCAGTATTCAAAAGAATTGTGGCAATATGTTAATAACTAGTATTTTAAAACAGATTTTTGCGGGGACATTTCTATATACATTTAGGAGGYTCAACAGAATGATGCACTTTCAAGTACAATTGTTGAGTATAGAAATATTTCTTGAACAGCAGTGTTTCACTCTGTTGATAATGTAGGGGAAAGAACTGTTTGGCCAGCAAGTACCAGGAGCTGAAGATGTTTTCACAAAACCTGTCAGTRGAACCAATGTTAAAATAATTATTTAAAGATGCTCTCTGGTTCTATTACGACATGATATTAAAACAAATAATTGAAGTGCTTCAATGACTACTGAGTTTCTCTTTTTCATGCTGCAGTATTTCTCCCTTCTCCCAAACCTGCCTTTTCTCAGGAGAGAGAAGTTCATATCCAGCACTGTTCTTCTCCATGCTCAGTTTGGTTTTCTCCTTATGTTTGCATGCTTAGTCAACTGGCTTGTCATGCCTTTTTATTGGCGCTGCCTTGCTTTCTCATTTCCACTTCCCCATATGCACTCAGCATTCATGGCTTCTGTCTTTACAAAAATGTGCTCCAAAGGCATGTTTCCTTACAGTGATGTTCCTCCTTCCTGCTGCTTTCTGGACTAGGAGAGGTAAAGAGTCACAGATGGCCTGGACAGAGGGTCCTGAAAGGAAAGTAGCTCTGAGTAGTTTCCACTCACTGCTGTTCATGACTTGTCTGTTAAAATTCTACACTAACAAGGCCATGCAACTATAAACACCTGCATATTTAGCAGAAATACAAATGTTTATGGTTTACATTTTTTTTCTAAATGTTAGCAATTAAATATTGTCCAGGTTTTCTGATATAAAAGTTCCAAAAAGCAAACATTATGAATGCACTTGTGAACAGACCTATTCTGAATCAAAAAGTAAAACGTTTGAATTTTTTATTTTTAAATTCAATCAGAAAGTGAAAATGTATCTGAGAACTCAAATAAGTTGTGTCTATTTTCTTGCTTTGTTCAAGAACCGTGGATGAGTAAAAGCTTCATTTAATTTCACATTTGTCTTGCTTTTCAGCACAATTCCTGTATAAAATGTCAACAAGAATAGCAATAGAGCTGTACTGAGAGCTCTTACTGTACTGCTCTAGATATATATTTAATTTTTAAGTAATTTCTGTGCATTTGTTTGACCATTCAGACATTCAAGTGTACCCTTTTAAGCAGTAAAAATTTTTGATTGGCCCTTTGAAATATTTATAATGGCTTTGGTTTAAATAAAAAGACAATGTTATGTGAGAAACAAGACATACACAGTCTCCTCAAACAGTAGAAGTGTCAAAATTACAAACATTTTCTATGATGACCTTTTYTATAAAAAATACTGAAGCATGGCCTGAACGTGAACAAGATCTAAGTTCCTTTTCTCAGACTAAAGTGTTCCATTTTGTGTCAAGATTGCTCCATATAAACAGTTCATGAGCAAGTGTTAAAATCTGGGAAAGGACAGATTGGTTGCAATGAATTAATGTCTTAGTCCATACAGATCTTTTTTATTATGACCACAACATTSTTCTCCACAGTCTATTGGAGAATAGAACTTAGAAGTTAAAACTACTGTTTTACCTTTTTTTCACAGTTAATCAGTGACTCACCATTTTGTACTAGCATTGTTTAGGATAAAGTACAATTGAAAATCTGATCCACTTCTTATAAACAGAGAGGAGGAAAGACTGCTTCAAACGGCTTATGAGCTCATGGTCAAAACTAAAAAGCAATTTACATGAGGAGAGGCTTTGAGATGTTTGTTTTTATCACAGAAATAGCATCTTTATTTTTAAAAAATYGATCTTTGTAACTGAATGAAATGCCCCACATTTCAGCATGTAGTGTAAAGAATATAGACATAGTACTTTTATGCAAATAACAGCACATTCTCGTCATGTTACAGTTTTTGGAGATATGTCTTTCCCTGGTTTCATCCCTATTCTGTAAAAATTTAGACTCCCAGTTACCAGGCTGAACTTCACTTAAATTAGGATGCCAGATGGCATTAAATATGCACTTCTCAGAGATCATGATTTTGAAGTAGCAGCTAAGTCCTGGAAGCACTCAGCATCAGGAATATGATTTGATGGTAACTGTTCGCATCTGAATCTGATGATTAGGCTTCTATAGTCAGGTAAGAGTACCAGATATCAGTAGGGACCATTTTCTGGACCTCTTCAGAGACACTTTATATCTTATKAAAGATATAAAGGACTTCTTTGATCTGAAGCACTCAAAGAGCCATGACTTTTTGGCAGTGCAGTGTTGATGCCTAAATGAAGAGATATGAATAGCATCCTAAATCCTTAAAATGCAGTATCAATGTGCTCTAGTACATTGTTTAAAATCATAGTTTCAGAAACTGCACTGTAAGCATACTTTCCTCTAAGCAAGGGCATGTCACACTGTAATTAATCTCTGAGGTCTGTTATCAGGTGTTAAGCCTGTTAGTTTAAGCCAAACCATCAGTTTTACTAAAAGCTATCAAAACTATTGGCTTACTGAATGCAAAGGTGTATTGAAACATATTGTAAGTGTAAAAGGGCTTGGCAAACAGCAAGGGATGTGGCAAAGAAGGCAGGCAATAGAGCCATAAAAGGAGATGAGGGAAAGGAAGCTAATCACAGTGCATGTCACATTATTTCTTGCTCTCAGGTGCTAAAGTTCCCACAGGGATAATAGCAATATGGGAGATGTAGTGGGCTGTGAGACAGTTTTATCTTTATAAATTGTCCAAAGGGAGGAAACAGATGGGTGTTGAGTTACAGTCACAAAAGTGATAGCTATTTCTGCTAYGGCAGTCATATATTTTATTTATTGTTCTTTGTGTGTTTATGTTTTGGCCAATGCTCACTGAAATGCAGAATATAATACACTTGTAGCTGAGCAAATAAGCAGGAGCATGAGGAGTGAGAGAAAAAAAAAAAAAAAAAAAAAAAAAAGGAAAAGAAGCTTTCTGGTTTTATTCCCTACAGAGGATGTCATTGTTTGTTGGATGACATCCTCAAAAACTTTCTGAAATATTTTGTCAATGAATGCATCACCTTGAGGTGGTAAAAGGCGTATGCTGTGCTACCCTCAAGGCCTAGYTGGAAGACATTTGCCCAAACTCACCATCTTCCTCAAAGCGGTTTTGTTGCTGTTGTTTTGCCTCGGAAAAAGAAATAAGGGTTTATTTGTATCAAATATGGTATTCAATTATCAGTATGTATGGAATGCACATTTTATATAAAGATGTTAAGTGGCTGTATAAAGATGATTGAACCCAGTGCTGCTGGGTGGAATGAGTTGTCTCCCAGCAGTTTAATATTCGTGATATTGCAACAAGTCTTGTTTGCTGTCTGGAGAGTGGAAGTTGCAACAAGTGATACTAAACAGCTGTTAACATCTCTGAAATTCAGAAAGTAGTAGTCAGTAGATCTTCAGAAGTATTAAAACTAATATCCTGATTGAATTATGAGTCCTAAGTAATCATAGAAAAGAAGAAAACAACTGGATAGGGCCTCAGGACATACACAAGTAAGTTTGGTGATCCAAATTT